ATTTAAGGGGGTCTGAATACTTTCCGTACCCACTGTATATTAGGCCTATATAAGATCAGCATTTGAACACGGCTTTGTTGCACTATAATAAACGGGGATATAATAAACAGATCAAAAAATAGTAGAAAATAAATAAATGAATTAATTAAACAAATAAATAAAATAAAGTACATGTTAAAAAGAAAAATGTAAATGTTGCCATTGAAGCGCTTGTAACATTAGACCTAAAAACACGTTATTTCGTACCAAAAAGATTGGTGAGCCAAGACATAAAATTTGTACTAAAATGTAGAAACAGTATGCATTTCAGACTTCTTGAATATATATAATTTCCTAATCATATAAAAAAGGCGATAATTAAATATGCTTTTTGTTTTGTTTCTTTTTCAGAATTTTAACCTACTTCTTCAGTGCCAAAAATACAGAAGAAAACAAAATGGCCAATGGACAGCAAATAACAAAGCTCAGTGTCTCCACCTCTAAGGACGAAGAGGAAATACTCGGAGCTCAAGGCTATCAGCTCATCAATGTTGACCTCAATCAAGGTGCTGGTGGAAACCAGGTCCTTCTGTGGTACAAGAAAGAGTGTGGCAACAGACCTGTGACCAGGATCCAGTTTTCATTCAATGAGAACATGAAACCTGATCTGGCTGATGCTGGGTATGAGCTGGTCAACCGAGATCTGAACGCAGGAGTTCGTGGAGATCACGTCTTTCTGTGGTACTTCTACGGGAGCACTGAATATGACATTCCTATTGTGAACCTGAAGGTCACCACAGACGCCAAAGACGAGCCTGCTCTTCTGCAAGATGGCTGGGAAAGGCTGGGCTGTGATCTGAACCGTAATGCAGGAGGAAACTTCTACCTGTGGGTGAAGAGAGAGAAGCCGAGCTATATCTGCGAGATCACAGCATCAGTTGACTTCTCTTCTGACAAGCTCCTGTTTCAGCTGGGCTACACTCGTGTGGATGAAAACACCAATCGAGGCGCTTGTGGAAACCACGTCTTCCTCTGGTATCGGCGCACAACCGATAAGAGCAATGCTCTCACTGCTCTTAACATATCCACCTCCCTCCAGGAGGTATCAAAGCTTCAGGCTGAAGGCTTTAAAAAGCTCAGTGTTAATCTCAATAAAGGAACCAGTGGAAAAGATGTCTACGCCTGGTACAAGAAAGAAGGATGTGAATCGCAGATCCAAGCCATGGTTCTGCTGATCAGCTGTAACGCCTGGAATGAGTATCAGAAAGCTGGTATCAACTTTATCGACAAAAATCTGAACGAGGGCAACAAAGGCTGGAAAATGCACCTGGCCTACAAGTAAAAACAAGCTGCCATCACAGGATCTTTCTCAGTTATCTAATTGGGAGGAGCACTATATGGCAACTATGAGCACAATTGTTTCTAATGTATGACTTTAATGTCAGTCTTTAAAGCCTGTTGTGACCGCGCCTGTTGTAATACACTCAACCACACACATTGTATTGGGCCTTTGTGTTTATGTTATGATGCATTATGAAATAAAGGCAACTTTATCCACAACTAATGCTTTGGTGAGGTTTTCACACCCGTCTTTGGGATACAACCAACAATAAGTTATAATGCATGCACAGTCCCCTCATTACATACTCATATTACAGGGTCATAATACCCTCAACACTGCTAAAGAAATTCAGCAGATTTTCTCAATACAAATGAATTCAAAGGTTTTTAGTCTTCATTGAAGAGCGTTCCAAAGAGGGACAGTATGATAGTATCGCCAAGAAAGCTGTTCTGAAAAAAAAAAAAAAAAAACTACTACTACTAATAATAAAATAAAATAAAATGTTTAAAAAAAAAATAGTGGTTCTTCGTTGTAAGGTACTTGATATTATATTAGGTGTTTCTGTTGCTCTATCCACACACTTTAGAATAAATCAATGCTTGAAATTAATCCAATGTAAAAGGCAAAAATAACCCCAAAAAAACAGAGAGAGAGCTCAAGGTATGCCCTTCATCCTGGTAGAGACCGATCTCGACCACTGACGTGGCTATGCTGATAACAGTGTTTGGCTGGTTTACGATGATTATATCCTATTCATTTTTACTACGCAAGGCACAACCATGAAGACGCCATTCGCCACTTAGAGTATCTCAAAACGCTCCCCAAAAGACAGGCGGATTTAACACCTAGCTGTAATGCAAATTTCATCAACCATGTTGAAATTACTTGCCTACTATTTATCATGTTAATCTACAATCTTTCTCAGTTTCATTGTTTTTATTGATGTTTTTATATGTAATATATACATACAGTATATATATATAGATAGATAGAGATATAGATATATATATTTTTAATATGGCACCCAGCGTAATCAAAACTGAGGTTTTGTGATTTTCTCTGTCTGTTAACTTTGAAACCATCTATGTGCTTATTGAACAAAATGAACTTTGAGCAGATATGCCTGTATACATCGATATGTGCAGTAACTACATCACATTTGCAATCAAGACTCTTTACACAGCCAGAGGAAATCTTCTCCGTGTTCACCTGAGAGGAGGCCCTGTTACATTTGGAGGCACAGATCTGGTGGAGGGCAACGCTCGACTGAGCTTGGGATCTTCAGATGAACAGTACAGCGCTGTTCACCTTTTATTACTGTTGTTCAGGTCTGGTAGGCATAACGGACCAACACCTGCTCCCCATGGGTGGCATCTGCTACTAATATGAGTGGTCGAATATGTCGGTCAAGGTCTTCATGATTTATAGGCCGGGTAGTTGGCCGGTAGCTCTATATGGAGATGTTTAATTCAGGGAAATTCCATGTTCTATTCAGATGATCGGTTGCTTTACGGATTCACACAATTCTATTAGCAATTATTATAAGAGCTATATGAGGTGCCCGGTGTCCGGCTTTGTGAATTCTTCCATTCATAATTCACAGATTTCATTTTCTATATGTCAACTGACAATATGTCTACAGACAAAACTAAAAGCATTTTTCTCATCGGAAAAAAAAAAAACTTTATTAATGACAATAGTCCAGGAAATGGTCATTTTTAAACAGCTCTGACAGCAGAACTGAATAATTTAGTTGAATAATTTACACCTATTACAGAAACCTTCTCTCTCACGGCTTAACCTAAGATTTGGTACGACAAATTGGATTTTTTTTTTTCTTCACATATTTTTATTGCAGAAGCAAATCTTAACTTCATTTAGTATTATTATCTTATCTCGCAAAATCTTATTTGATCTAATCTCTAAATTAGTCAATTGTAAACTACTTCATGTCACAGCTTTGTTCTGTTTCTTTGTGTTTTGGCTCAGTCTTCTTGTTGACCTAGTTTCTCAGTCTGTTGCTTTGATTATGGTTATGTTCACCTGTGTCCTCATTAATTACCTCATTAGTTCCTTCTTATTTATACTCCCTGTTTAGTTCAGTTCCTTGTCTGGTGTTATGGTTGTGTTTGCTTGCCTGCCTACGTTTGGATATACCTGTGGATATTGTTAAAGCTTATTTTGGAACTTTGCTTTCTTCATCGTCTTCGTCTCTGCAACCATTCATGGCGCTCCACGAGTTAGATAATCAACTCTTACGTCTGTTACCAAGCAACCAGCAACACGCAAACTGCTGCTGTGAAGTAAACATTAGATTAAAATGGAGAAATAAAAATCAGTGGCCTTTTAATTTCAATGCTGCAGAAATAGAAGTTTCGATAAGCTCGGTATTATCATATTTCGTGGGAGTCTGTAACTATTTTTTTAGTGCTCTGTCATCAATGCGCAGCACGGCATCTGGACCCTCAAAAGTCTTTCCACCATCAAACATCGCTGGTCTTCATCTTGTGTCATTGATACAGTAAATGTAACACCATTCTCAGACAGGGCTACTGTTGGATAAAAATTAAAAAAAAGTTTTTAATCAGGGGTTATCCTATGCTTCTGCAATAGCCTTTTTCTCTCTCTGTAGTTAAGACAATGAACTTAGGAAATGCTATTCTGTAAATAGGTTTGTCCTAACTGAAATTGCCATGGTCACCAAACAGATAAGATGAGATTCTAAAGCTAGGATCTTTAAAATTTAAGAATTGGCATTCTGTTTTATCATGAAGTATGCATACTATACGAAGGTACTGCGGGGAATACACCACTCTTGCATTCACCTGCATCTCTCATAGGAAGGGGGCACTCGTTCAGTTTTCAATCCGTTCCAGTTACAATTTTAAAGTCACTGAAATAAGGCCATAAAACACATACAGAACATTTGATCACAGTATATGTATAAATTTATATGAAATGTATATATTTGTTGTACAGTTACGGATCCGTTTTCGATCCGTTCAGAATCTTAGAGTAAGTGTGCATTCACTATTTTACAG